TTATAAGAAATATAATAATATAAGTTTCATTCTTTCAAGAGATTGTTATGCGGAGTTAAAAATCTTAAATAATAATATTTATTTTTAAATTTAATCAATATATATGATAATTATTTAATCAAATTAGTATATATAACAGAAATTTAATCAGATTAGTATTTTTTTCTGAGTATACTAAGCCTGATTAAGTTTATTAAATATTATATAAATAAACATTACAGTAAAAAGTATTATATAAATAAATATTACAATAAAAAGTATTACTTAAATAAATATTATTATAATAAATATTAGAGTAACTAACACACTTTCTATATTTTTAATTTATTAGTGATTGATATATAATATATATCTTTTAAATTATATATTAAATCTTGATATTTTATACATCTTTAGAATCATATACCTACTAGAGTACTGAGTAATTCTAATAATCTAATTAATTAATTTACTTTATTTTTAAATTCTAATTAATTAAACTTAGTATCTATCTAAATCATATGATTAAATAGAGTGGTTAACAGTCAGGGTAGGGTAGGTTAATGGAAAAATTTATACCTGCCGTCAGGTTAATGGTTAGGTATATTATTATATATATCTAAATATAACTAAATATTTAAATTATATAATTTTTTATTATTATGACCATTAACCAGGACAATATAAAGAATAATTCAGATAATAATTAATATATTTTTCTTTAATAATGTCACGGTGCCTGCCTGAATCCTGCTTGAATCCTGTTCCTGAATACCCTTATATAGTGTGCGCAGTGTAAAGCCATCGGCTTTACATCCTAGTCCTTTTGCTAATAGTGCAGCGGGAAGTACCTGGAATGCACACCCAGTATGCCCCGTGACAAATAATCTGATTTAATTATATTTAAATTTCTAGTATTATTTATAAAATTAAAAGTTTAATACAGAAGTTACTAGGCTGCTGGCTACTAGTCAGAAAATTAGATTATTATTAATTAATAATTAATCTAATATCTATTCTAATAATATAATAATTAAAAATATATTATTATTAGTATATCATTCCTGTAAAGCCTCTGTATAAATTATTAATTAATTTATAATTATTAATCTTTTAAATATATCTGATTTTTTTAATTAGTAGTTAAAATTAGTTAAAATAATCTTTTAACTATAATTTATCCTTAATTATATGGTTAAGAAGATTCTTATACCTTAATCTAACTGTCAGGTTACGGTTAAGGTTAGGTTAAGGTATAACAGTCAGGTATAACCACTCTAATCTAGACTAGAATATCAAACATGAGAAGGGAAAGAAGAAAGTGTATAAAAGCATATATAAATAATAAAGATAAGTAAATAAAGGAAAATAAACGAACCAAACAGAACTATATTATATAACCCAGTCACGTGCCTCCAAACACCGCTCGCCATCACAATAAATTTATTTAATAATAACAAAGATAGTTTATATCTATAAAATTAACTCATTCTTAAAGAAATAGTAGTCTTTTATAAAAGAATTAATATCTTAAAATATTAGAAAAATGTAGAACTGCTATTAATAATTTCATAATTTCTATAATTATTATAATATATTATTTTAATAATCTTATTTCTAATAGCTAGCTTATTTTATTATAAATAATTTTTTTTTACTGGAATATGAAAAGGGCTAGGCCCTGTCAGCCATCTGGAATCAGAACATCTATATTCCAACCTATCTGGTTCTAGACCTTGACCTAGTGTGACGGGCTAAGAAGCCGGGAGGACTACATAAGATACAGTAGTTGATAGAAAAGTTGAATTTATTAGAAAAAAAACTATTTAATTTATAGACAGATTAGTCTTTCTTATAAATAACTCTTCTATAAGTTTTTCTTTATAACTTTAATAAATTTTTTTATTTACTTTTAGAAATTTCTATTTTTTTTATAGATATCTTCAGATCAAGGTCCAGAACCAGATGGATTAGAATATAGATATTTTAATTTTAAATAATTAATAAAGTCTAGTTTTTTTTAATTATTATTCTTTTTATTATGATACAGCTGAGCCAATATAGATTTTTTTAAATAAGATAAATAAATAAGATTATACCAGTATTCATAGATCTTAATATTATAAAACTTAGTTATTAGTTTCCATGTAAATTTAATATATTTCTTTTATTTAATTAAAAATATTTTTTTATAGCTATATTTTTCTTAAAGTATATTTTTTTTATTTATAATTTTTTTAATAATATATTCCTCAGTACTGTCTTCCATGATAATAATATTTAATTATTAATTAGTTATTTTTTAAATAAGTAGAGGGTCTGTAGTAATAGATTAAAATAAATTAATATAAAATATTAAATAAATTCTAAATAATATATTTAGTCTGTATATATATATTTTAATTTATTCTAGTATTATAAATTTTATATTTTATTAGTTTAATTTCTTATTAAATTAGTTAATTATAATATTTTTCAGATTTAATTAGATCTTATTATTTTTTTTATAACAGAGAGCAGGATTTTATTATTAATTAATATATTATTTTTATATTTCTTATGCTGCTGCTATTATTAAATTAATAATATCTTAGATTTCTTAGAATTTACTAAAAATAATCTTAGTCTGTTCTCGGGGGTTCCTAGTCTAATTATATTTTAGAAAATCTATTTTAATACTTAAGTTTAAGAGCTTTATATAGAAGTTATATTATAAGAAGAAAGGGCTTATTTTTATTAATATAAAATCCTGATTATTTAGAATTAATTATACTAAGAGTAGTAATTCTTATCAGTTAGTTTATTATTAGTTTATAAAATATTATAGAAAGATCTTAATAACTATAATTTAATATTTTATTATTTTATTTATTTCAGGATAGTAAGTAGTAGAAAAATATTATTTAATATTTAATATTTTATATAAGATTATTTATAATTCACTTATAAACTAAGAGCTGTAATCTGAAATTATTAACTAAAATATTTTATAGTAATTATAAAATATTTAGATAAATATATTTATAAAGTTTTTTATGTCCATGCTCGGGACAGCTTTAATAATAATATCTTTAATTAATTAGTTAGTAATAATTATAATATTTTTATAATTTTAAGATTCCGGGAGGTCTACCAGGAAGTTAATAATAATATTTTATTAAAATTAATCAGGAATTAGTAATAGTTTTAAAAAGTCTTACTTATAATTTCTTTAGATATAATTAATTTTATAATTATTACAGTTACAGTAGAACCAGTAGATATTTTTACTTATATCTAGCTAATAATAGTAGTAAGTAATTATTTTATAAGTCTAGTTTTATCCGGAATATCCAGTGATTATATTATTATAGACTTCTTAGATAATCTGAATTTATAAAAGCTCTGAATTAAAAATCTAGACTTATTTTTAGAAAAATAGGTATTAGCTTATATTCAGCTAGTATTTTATAATAGAAACTTTTAATTTTAACTGTTTAGAAAGTTTAAATTTATTTTTAATTATTATTTTATAATATTTTTTCAGGTTCTTATCAGCCTGCTTTATTTATTTTTATAAATTATCTAGTATTAATTTCTTAGGCTCTAGACTAGCAGGGATTTCTTTATCAGAAGTTTTATTAATAAATATTATATAAATAAACTTTTTTTCAGGTATAGAATGAAATAGTTGAATTTTTTAATTTATAATATACTTATCTTCTTTCTTAGATATATTTTAGAATCTTTAAAATAAAATATTTAACTGAGTATTTATTATCTCTAGATAATAATTAATTATAAAATTAAAATAATTTAAGAATTAGATTTAATATATTTATTATTTTGTAAGCTGCTATTAGATTATAAAATATTCTAGATTTTAATAGTTATTAAGAATTTTAAAATAAAAAAATATAATAAATTCTAGCTCTTATTCCTACAGGACTTAAATAATTATTAGTAATTCTTTATTATAGATCTAGTAATTATACTTTAAAAATAGATTTTTCTTTAAGAAATATATTACTAGATAGAAAACTCCTTAATTATCTTATTAAAATAGTATTTTTTTTATATATTATTTAAAAAAATTAATTTTTATTAATATTTCCTGTTCAGGGTTCTAATATACAAGAATAAGAATAGTAATAAAGATTTTTTTAAGAATTTTAAATATTTTTTTAGATCTCTAATATCCAGCTAAACTTAATATTTTTTTTAATAAATTATATAAAGGATTCCGAGTAGGCTCCCCAGTTCTTGAGAAATTATTAATAAAAATTAATAAATTCTAGAAAGATTTTAATATTATAGATAGTCTTCAGTATTTTCCAGTTCTGTATAATCTAGACTTTAATAAAATTTATATAAATTTCTTTTTTTATTTTAATAATAAATTCTAGATATTTTATAGTAGTTATCTTAAATTTATATTTATTAATATCTACTTAGAGACTTGTATTCTGTAAGTATCTTAATACTTACTGTATCTGGATATAGTATATAATTAGATTTTTATTTATAAAAATAAAAATATTATTAATATAAATAGAGCAGAATTTATTAAGGAATTTCTATAAGATTTAATTAATATATTACTAGAATATATTTAAATAATTAATAAGCCTGAACAGGGCCACCAGCTATTTAAATAATTTAAAATAAATATAAAACATAGTTTTCTATTTATTTTTTTCTTTGATCTGGATATAATAAAAGATTTAAATAATATCTAGTTTAATATAATAACAGGCTTTTAAAATATATTAAAAAATTTCTTAAATAAGTAGTAAGAAATACCAGTCCTTTATAATTATTTAATTAAATACTTGGTAATCTATATAAAAATATAAATTATTATTAGATTTTAAGATAAACAGCACAGGTGTAGCTGCTGGAAAATTATTAATTCTTATAAATTCTTTTTTCAGAAGATTAATCAAGATTTTTTATAATATTAAGAATTCTAATTAATTTATCCAGTAGAAAAAATTTTAAAAAATCTTTTTTTTTTTTTCTTTAATATTTCTAATTATTTTAATAGTATAATCTATTCCCGGGTGATGGGGTGGTAGAATATCTATTATTATTTTATTAAAAATATTTAAGTACTTATAATAAAAGCTTAGTAATTTACTTTTTATTTCTATAAAATCTTTTAGCTGGTTAAGTTTATAAAAAATTTTATTAATATCTGTTAAGCTTGCTATAAACAGCTTTATTAAATTTTCTTTTTTTTTTTAATTCTTTTAAATATACCATGTATTAGCAGAGATTATAAATAATATTAAAAAATAATTTTATTTTTATTTATATTATATTTCTACCCCCGTGCTCTGGATATTAAGTATAAAATTTTTAATTTAAAATATTATATTCTGGTACTTTATCTATAAGAGTCTTAATATAATATTATACTTATGTATATATAGTAAAATATAAAGATATATATATTTTTATAGATTTTTATTTATATTTAATAATATTTTTATTAATTCAGTTATACAGGCTTTTTCTTTTTTAAATTTTTTAATATTTCAGGATTTAATAGAAATATATTCTAGTTTATTTCTATTTATAAAATTCCAGCTGATTATCCTGTAAGATATATAATTAATATTAATTAAAATATTTATAAAATAAATTTTATTAATTAATTCTAATATAAAGAAGGTGTGGTAGTCTTTAAATCTTTAAATTTTTTTCTTAAATTTTTTATAATTATAATTAATTAATATATACCCCCCTAGACAATAATCCAGGGAAGCTATATTTTTTTTAAGACTAGAATTTATTAAATAACTGGATTTTTTAATATCTAGCTGGCTTTACTAGCTAGATTATTTTTAAATAAAACTTAATAAACTTTATTTTTTAAATCTTAGAAGTACTGTAATAACAGATAAAAATATCTAGTAATATAATATTTTAAGAATCTGCAGTATAAGTAGAGTCTTATTTTATAATATTTAACTAATGTTTTTTTTAATATTTATTAGATTTATTAAATAGATCTTGTACTTACTACTATAAATTTTTAATTTATAATATTATTTATAATTATTTTTTTAGAAATACTACCTGTCTAAATATTAAAATATTTTAGTTATTTTTCTAAAAATTAATTTATTTTTATAAATTTATTAGTTACCTGTTTAACTTATTAATAAAAATCTTTAAAATCTAGTTTCTGTTTAATATTTATTATTTATTAATAAATATTATTATTTAAAATTTAATACAGGAGATTTTTTTTATTTAAATTTTTTTAATTATACTCTCCGGCCTTGATTAACAGGTTATTAATTTTTATTAAAAGATTATTAATTATTTAATTTTTCTGTTTAAGAATAGATAATTTACTAATAACTTTTTTTTATTAAGCTGGATTTTTATAAATTAATTTAAAATAATTAATTAAAGCTGTGGCTGAGAAGAATAAAATCTTATAATTAATTTTTATTTATAAATTAATCTTTGCTTTAGTCTTTCTATTTAAGAATATAAATATATATTAGATTTATTTAGTCAGTATATTAATAAATTATTAATTAATCTTAATCTTTATCTGTATATTATTAAGTTAATTCAGGAATTTACTTTTATTCTTTTTATTAAAATTTATGAATATTAGTAATTTTAGTTTTTTTATATTAGCTAGATCTTAGGCTGGTATTAATACTAATATTAATATTAATATAGATAAAGATACTATAATAAATATTTAAGAAAATAAAAGTTAGATATTAATAAATTATTTAATCTACTTGAGACTGGTCTTAATTTTATTATTTATTATTATATTTTATTAGAAGATAATATATTATATTTCTGTATTCTAGATTATTAGTTCTTTAATATATTTAGTTAATTAGTTAATAATATCAGCTTGGATAGTGTTTTTATGATAACTAGAGATATTTATTAATTTATTATAATTATTATATATTACTGGTCTGTTATCTGATAGATATTTTAAAAAAAAATAAATTTAAAACTGTAATAGATTAAGAAGCTGAAAGAATTATATAAAGTATAGTAATTAATAAAGAAGTTAAATTTATTAAAAAAAGAATTATTTAATCTACAGACAGGTTAGTCCTTCTTATAAATAATTTTTTTATAAGTTTTTCTTTATAATTTTAGTAAATTTCTTTATTTATTTTTAGAGATTTCTATTTTTCTTATAGATATCTTCGGGTTAAGGTCCAGAACCAGACGGGTCGGAATATAGATATTCTGATTCTGGATGGCTGACAGGGCCTAGCCCTTTTCATCTAGAGATATCTGTAAAAAAAATAAAAATCTCCAGAATAAATAAAAAAATTTATTAGAATTATAAAGAAAAACTCTCAGAAGAATTATTTATAAGAAGAACTAATTTATCTATAAATTAGATAATTTTTTTTTAATAAATTTAATTTTTTTATTAATTATTATATTTTATATAGTCCTCCCGGCTTCTTAATCTATTATAATTTTAAATTTATTTTTTTTTAAAGTATTTATTAGATAATAGACTAGTAATATATAATAACTATAATAAATTAATAAATATTTCTAGTTATTATAAAAATACTATCTAAACTGATATTATTAACCAGTTAACTAAATATATTAAAAAATTAATAATCTAGAGTATAGAAATATAATATATTATTTTTTAATAAAATATAATAATAAATAACAAGATTAAGACTAGTCTTAAATAAATTAAATAATTTATTAATACCTGATTTCTGTCTTCTTAAGTATTTATTATAATATTTTTATTTATATTAATATTAATATTAATATCAGTACCAGTCCAAGATCTAATTAATATAAAAAAATTAAAATTATTAATATTTATAAATTTTTAATAAAAAAAATAAAAATAAGTTCTTAAATTAGCTTAATAATATATAAATAAAGATTAGAATTAATTAATAATTTATTAATACACCAGCTGAACAGGCCTAGTATATATTTATATTTTTAAATAAAAAAATTAAAATAAAGATTAATTTATAAATAAAAATTAATTATAAGATTTTATTCTTTTTAATCACAGCTTTAATTAATTATCTTAAATTAATTTATAAGAATCTAGCTTAACAAAAAAAAATTATTAATAAATTATCTATTTTTAAGTAGAGAAATTAAATAATTAATAATTTTTTAATAAAAGTTAATAACCTATTAATTAAAACCAGAGAATATAGTTAGAAAAACTTAAATAAAAAGAATCTCTTATATTAAATTTTAAATAATAATATTTATTAATAGATAATAAATATTAAATAAAAATTAGATTTTAAAGATTTTTATTAATAAGTCAAACAGATAGCTGATAAACTTATAAAAATAAATTAATTTTTAGAAAAGTAACTGGAATACTTTAATATCTAAATAAATAATATTCTTAAAAAAATAATTATAAATAATATTATAAATTAAAAATTTATAATAGTAAGTACAGAACCTGTTTAATAAATTTAATAAATATTAAAAAAAATACTAATTAAATATTATAAGATAAGACTCTGTTTATATTATAAATTCTTAAAATATTATATTATTAGATATTCTTATCTATTACTATAATATTTCTAAAACTTAAAAAGTAAAGTTTACTAAGCTTTATTTAAAGATAACCTAGCTAGTAAAACTAGCCAGATATTAAAAAACTCAGTTATTCAATAATTTCTAATTCTAGAAAAAATATAATTTTTTTAGATTATTATTTAGAAGAATACACACTAGTTAATTATAATTATAAAAAGTTTAAGAAAGAGATTTAAGAATTTAAAGACTATTATATCTTCTTTATATTAAGATTAATTAATAGAATTTATTTTGTAAATACTTTAATTAATACTAATTATATATTTTATAAGATAATCAGCTGGAACTTTATAAATAAAAATAAATTAAAATATATCTTTATTAAATTCTGAAATATTAAAAAATTTAAAGAAAGAAAAGTTTATATAATTAAATTAGTAAAAATATTATTAAATATAGATAGAAATTTATAAAAATATATATATTTTTATATCCTGCCACATATATATAAATATAATATTATATTAGAATTCTTGTAGATAAAGTATTAAAATATAATATTTTAAATTAAAGATTTTATATTTAATATCTAGAGCACGGGAGTAGAAATATAATATAAATAAAAATAAAATTATTTTTTAATATTACTTATAATCTTTGCTAACATATAGTATATTTAAAAAAATCAAAAAAAAAAAAAAATTAATAAAACTGTTTACAGCAAGTCTAATAGATATTAATAAAATTCTTTATAAACTTAACTAGTTAAAAAATTCTATAAAAATAGAAAATAAGTTATTAAATTTTTATTATAAGTATTTAGATATTTTTAATAAAATAATAATAGATATTTTATTATCTTATTATCCAGGGATAGACCATGCTATTAAAATAATTAAAAATATTAAAAAAAAAAAAAGAAGATTTCTTAGGATTCTTTCTACTAGCTAAACTGACTAAAACTCTTAATATTATAAAAGATTTTAATTAATCTTCTAAAAAAAAAATTTATAAAAATTAGTAATTTTCCAGCAGCTGTACTTATATTATTTATTTTAAAATTTAATAATAATTTATATTTTTATACAGATTACTAAATATTTAATTAAATAATTATAAAAAACTAGTATCCCTTGCCACTTATTCAAGAAATTCTTTAATATATTTTAAAGATTTATTATTATATTAAATTAGATATTATCTAGGCCTTCTATTATATCTAAATTAAGAAAAAAAATAAATAAAAAATTATATTTTATATTTATTTTAAATTATTTAAATAACTGGTAGTCCTGTTCAGACTTATTAATTATTTAAATATATTTTAGTAATATATTAACTAGATCTTACAGAAATTTCTTAATAAATTTTATTTTATTTATATTAATAATATTTTTATTTTTATAGACAGAAGTCTGACTATATATTATATTTAAATATAATAAATATTAGAATACTTACAGAATACAAGCCTCTAAATAAATATTAATAAATATAAATTTAAGGTAATTACTATAAAATATCTAAGATTTATTATTAAGATAAAGAAAGAGATTTATATAAATTTTATTAAAATTTAAATTATACAGGACTGGAAGATACTGAAGACTATTTATAATATTAAGATTTTTCTAGGATTTATTAACTTTTATTAGTAGTTTCTTAAAGACTGGAAAATCTACTTAGAATT